ATCCTGCTACCTGTTGGCAGCTCAGCGGCTGCTCAGCTCGGGCTGGACTCGAACTGCTGTTGCTCAGAGCTCAAGCTCTTGAGCGAGCTCTTAACCAACTGAGCCACTCGGCCAGCCCACCTTTCAGTCTTTTCTTTATGCATATTTTTTAATTTAACAATCCTATTTTTAAAACTTTCATTATGAAAATGTAAAAGCATTCAGAAAAGTAAAGAGCGTTAGTCAGTGAATCTACATGTACCCACTACCTCAATTCAACAATTATTAACATAATGCCAACATCATGAAACTTTATCTTTAAATATGATATGTCTTATGATATTTCTCAAAAAAATCAGGACATTCTCTAAACTAGTATAAACCTAACATAATGAATAGTAAGTAATTCCCTAATAGCATCAAATAACTAGTTAAAGTGGCCAGGCAGAGTGATGCTGGCAAATTTGCTGCTCTGAATGGCCTTTCTCTTTTTGTACTTACTTTCTTTGTTTTCCCTTTTCCAATTTCTGGGCTGAAATTTCCTGTTCTTCTATAGCATGTAGCCAGGCTCCTTCACCCCAGCGGTCCCCAAGCTTATAATACACATAAATGTACTACATTGGCAGTGGATTATGTGTTACTTTATGACTCATCTCAAGGTTTTATTTAGCATGTCATTTCCTTATGTCTCGTCTCTCCAAACCACTGTTGATATTCCTTGAGGTAGAGAGCATATTGTACCCTAATCTGATTTTCCAGATAGCCTAATAGTACCATATAGATCATTAGAGCTCAGTACATATTGACTGATTAAGATCTCTGATTCCCTGCTCGTTAGCTGTATTTTTCCCCCCTCTACTTCTCTCTTCAACTTATAATTGTAAACTCTTGCCTCCTCACTCCCTGGCTCTTCTCCGCTGTCTTTTTATTTTTTTCCCTCATATCCATATTTTAGAAATCATTGTAGCTCAATAACCTGAGACAATTCACCTTTAAAAGGCAGCCAGTGATTAACCTTCCAAAGATTGGATTAAACTTTTTTTTCTCACCTAAGAAATTATCTTTTATTACTTTTGGAGAATATAGGATTAATGTTTTACATTTTCGGAATATTTTACCATAATTAGACCTCCAGAACTGAGAGGTCATATCATTCTCCAAGGGTCATTTAATTCTTAAACCCCCTACAAAGAGAGCACTTGGTGGTATGGTGGTGGTAGTGGTATTTACACCTGCTGGCTGGGAGAAGGGCCAAGACAGTCAGCTGATTTTACAGAAAAGCCCTGGAAAGTTATTGAGTGGTCACAAGACTTTGACTTGGGCTGCTGATGCAGTGGGAATTCAGTCTCAGAGGTTATGCTGCCGCTCTGGTAGTTCACATGGCAAAGGGCCCATGCTTTTCTTTAGCTACTAGACTGTTCTGTATCCTGTGGGCATTTTGTAACCACTGTCCACAGGTGGATTGCCTACCTTTCACAATGAGCTACATATGCCAATGCCCAGAAAAGCATTCTGAGTTAAATGGAAGTTTTTACAGAATTCTGTTTAGTTCTGAAGTTTTTAACTTCCTGGAAGGCAGAGGCAGATCTCCCTTTAATAATGTCATAATAGGGCCGGCCGAATGGCGCGTTGGTTAAGAGCTGGCTTGGGACACCAGAGGGCTCCGGTTCGGATCCCACATATGATGGCCAGTGACACTGCCCTCTACAGCTAAGATGCTGAACAACAGCTCAACCTGGAGCCGGGCTGCCGTGAGTCGCCAGCGATGGCGTGGGCTGCAGCCCCTGCTGCAGTGGATTGCCATGGGCTACCGTGTGTAGCCAGCAGCCAGCGTGAGCAGCCAGCAGCTGCCATGAGTGGCTGTCCAGAAGCCGGCGACTGATCTGCCTCTCCCAGGAAGAGCGCAATGATGGTGCCAACTTGGTCCAGTGAAGCCACGTCCTCCACAACTAGACTGAAGAACAAAGTGACAGCAACTTGTCTGTTCCCCTTCCCCCAATTCCCCAGCACTGTTCCCATCCCCCAATTCCCCAATAAAAATCTTTAAAAAAAATAAAATAATGTCATAATAATAATAGCAGCAGCAGCAACGTAATAGTAATGACTAACATTAGGCGCTTACTCTGAGTAGGCACCTTTCTAGAAACTTTACTTATTTGAATCCATTTAATCCTCCTAACCACCTTAGATGCCATATTTATCTCTGTTTTAAAGATAAGGAAACAGAGTTACAGAAAGATTAACAAACTATTCCAAGATCACACACAACTAAATGGTAGAGCCAGGATTCAAACCCTAGGCAACCTGGTTCCAGATCCCATTCCCTTAGCCATCATATCACATAGTGCCATATGTATCTGCGGGTTTATTGAGAACATTACAAACACTTGTGACTACCCAGCAAATTATGAGTCACAAATATGTGAATTTCATAGGAAATACTAGGGGTAATATGCTGCAATAAAGCACTGTTTCAATATGGGACAGATGAGAAAAGATAAGCAGTACAAATTTTAACTTTGATTCAGTACTGGTTAACTTTTCACAACCAAATTCTATTCCTTATACTTTAATTTATTTGGACATATCTGCAGTCAAATGTCAGTCCCTAGTGCCACAGAATGAATGAGCTATACGTGAACATAGTATTCATCAATGAGTAATGTTTAAGAGTGTAATCTGGGTCAGCTGAGTGGTGCATTGGTTAAGAACTGGCTTGGGACGCCGGAGGGCCCCAGTTTGGATCCCACATATGAGGGCCAGTGACACTGCCCTCTGCAGCTAAGATGGTGAATGGCAGCTCGACCTAGGGCTGGGCTGCTGTGGGTCTCTGGCGACGGTGTAGGCTGCAACCACTGCTGCAGTGGGCTGCCATAAGCTACCGTGTGTAGCTGGCAGCCAGTGTGAGCGGCTGTCCAGAGGCCGACGACTGATCTGCCTTGCCAGGGAAGAGCGCAATGATGGTACCAGCTTGGGCCAGTGAAGCAACATCTTCCACAACTAGACTGAAGAACAAAACGACAGCAACTTGTCTGTTCCCCTTTCCCCCAATTCCCCAGCGCTGTTCCCCTCCCCCAATTCCCCAATAAAATCTTTAAAAAAAAGCAAAAAAAAAAAGAGTGTAATCTGAGGCTGGGTGAGATTTTGCTAAATGGCTTATTTGTGCTTGTATTCCATATTTATTTAGAAGTCCTCCTTGTTTGAAATGCCTCTGATCAAATTAGAAGTTCTAATTATGTGCTTTAAGGCTCACCTGTATATCCTGCAACATACTAGTTGGGGCTCTTGGGTCCCACTCTACTTCTCATCCCTGGTGTGTGACTCTCACCTGCAAACCCTTATACCATTTATCCTTCTCCCCACTTAGCAATGCCATCCACCACCTTCAAAATTCTGAAGACTAATACCTCTGGGAGCCTGCCCTATCCACACCCCTATAGCAGTTGTATAAAATCAATCCTGTCCCCAACTAGGCTATACAATCCACAAGAGCCAGGGCCCTACTTATAATTACTGCTTAATGACATACTGATCTCTTTCTGTGATTCAGGCATGGTGCTAAGCCTACAAGGGATAATCAGGAAGGATGCTGGCCCATAAGCATTCAGAGTGTAGGCCTGCCCATTAACAACCATGGTCCAGCCATTGTTACTGAATTTCAAAACAGGGCCAAATAGGACTTGTCTAAGTTCAGTGGTGGTCAACTAAAATTAGTCAAGATTTTCATATGGGTAAACATCCCCAACCTACCCCACCTCCCAACTCTGAAAAAAAATTACTTTGTTTACATCTTTTAAATAAAGCAGCTAAGTCTTGAAAAAGTTAAGTCAAATTCACTGAGTTAGTAAGTAGCAGATCGAGGATTTAAACACAGGTCTATTTGGCTCCAAAATTCATATTCTTACTATTTTATTACACAATTTCATTTTCTACTTTGTATTCTAATGCTTGGTACATATTAAGGCTCAATAAAAGTTTGACAATAACTTGAAAAGGTAACTAAGAATAAGTATATTAGTGTTTTACTCTTTAGAAGTTGTATTTACATGGTGTTATATGTATATATGTGTTTCTGCCCCATCAGGGGCTTAGGAGCCAAATGTACACACAGGAAGAGGAATAAAGCACCAAGGGACACAGGGCTCTGAGGGTTCTTGGAGAAGGGTAGAACTTGCCTACGTGAAGAACAGCTGTAAACCATGCTGGCTAGAGACAGAGAAGAAAGAGCAGTGCCTGGGAGGGGCAGGAGGAGCTGGAGCAATGCTGTTGGTGAGCTTGGAGCTTTCCCACCTGAGAGTATGATAGAACAGAAGACAGGTAGGCCCTAGTAATGGAGAGTCTAAACCAGGACAGGAATTTGAAAGTTACACTGTAAATTAATGATAAGTGAGACAGTGCTGGTTCAAAAGCAACATGAAAGCCACCCATACACCACTATAGACAACAATATCTACAAAGAAGAACTGATAAGCCAAGTGTCATCCAAAATTCTATTACGGAAATACCAAGTAGTTCAAGCCTATAGTTTCCTTCCTTCTACAGTCTGAGCATATCTGGATTCTAGATTTAAATATTTCTTCCATTTTCATAGGAATGCTCCAGAGTCCTTTCTTTATTGTTGTGATTTTTCTTCTGGAGCGGTGGAGCTAGTAAAGGTATGCCTTATATTTTCTTTAAAGAGAGCTATATAAGAATCTGATTTATTTCCTGTTGACGTGATTTTTTTTTTTTTATGTTTCTGTATCAGATGTTATCTGTGACCTTTTTTTAACTGAGCTTTTACTATTTCTGGGAATCATACCATCCACTGATGCCTAAGATTTGACCCTAAAACAATAAAAGTTGTTTTAAATTTAACATAGACTTCAAGGGACTGGTACACCTAGACAGGCCAACAGCTCCTACAAGGTAATTTTGTGAATATTTATGTCCCTAGAGCCTTCCACATAGTCTGGCACATAGTAGGCACTCGTTAAATTAAAATTTTGGGAATAAAAAGTCTGAAAAAGCATATATTGCAAATCTAAAATATCCTAGACTGTAAGGAAAACAGTGGGAAACCTGAATTTACTTGACCAGTCCCCAAATGCTAGTGGGCATGACCTTAGCAAGAAGAGTTAATGTTAGGAAATGGAAAAGGAAAGGAAGTTCTACTAACAAAAATGTATAGTAAACATATGGAACATGATTTCTGATAATAAGAGTAGTATTTATTCATTGTAAACATTTTCTAAAATACTGAAAAGCCTAAAAGGGGAGGTAAAATTCACCTATAATTACACTTCCTAGAGTCCTAGGGTGAATCAATGTTAATATTTTGGTGTATATCCTTCTAATTTTGTTTTAGTGGACAGACTGTGTGTGCATATGTGTGTGTGTGTGTGTGTGTGTGTATACTCTAATGCAGTTTTTAAAAAATAACAGCTTTATTGAGATATAGTTTGTATACCATAAAATTCACCATTTAGAATATACAATTCAGTGCTTTTTAGTATATTTACAGAGTTGTGCAACCATCACTATTACCTAATTTTGATTACGTAGTAGAGGATATTTATATTCGAAGGCAAACGAGGCATGGAACAAGCAGTAGGAGAGAGAGCTGAGGACCAGCTCAGTGCCTCTGAAATAATGTAGGGGTAGGCTTCCAACAAGGCTGCCTACTGACTCATAAAGACTGCCCTGCTTTTAAAATTAAAGAGGGGTTGCAAAGAATATTTGTTATCAAGCCCAAGTGTTAGGCTTAATTTTTTATGGCAGCTTTGGAAATAAGCTAACAGAATACTGAATCAGAAATAAAGTACATTCAAATTGATAGAGGAAGGGCACTTAGGAGAAATTAAAAAACAAATGGCCTTTTTATTTTAAGAAAAATACTAGAAGTCTGCTAACTACTTTTCTTCTTCTTCTTTTTATTTCTTTATCATGGCAGTCGCACCCAGCCTACAGAGCAGCCCAGTGTTGTGCCTTTGTTCATGATGTCTGTGATGACGGCTTCCCCTACCCTTTTCCAGATGGGATCCTGGATGTCATTCTCCTGGTCTTTGTGCTGTCTTCTATTCATCCTGACAGGTGAATGCAGACGAACGGGCAAAGTACATGTGTAAAAGCCCCTTTATCAGTAGTAGTTTTTAGAACTATCAAAGCAAAAAAAAAAGACAATTCTTAAATTTATTATTTAGTGAACTGCAGTATGTATAATATGCAGCCTTTTAAATGAAATGTTTCCTTCAGACTTTTAGGAAGAAACTGGTCAAACTACTTCATTAGTGAGCTTTTTGTCATTGTCAGAATGAAGTGAGCATATTCTGGCAAGACACATACCTATTAAAAGTGACAGTGCTTCAAGGAAATTACAAATTCAGAGCAGCCTAATAGACTCCCAAGAGGGAAATTGTAGTTGGTGATCAGAAACAAACATCTTTGGTTTAGCATCTTACTGAAAGTTGGTGAAGACGTGGGCTGTGAATCTGTTTGGCTTCACACAGGTCTGCTGAGGGCTTTAAAACAATTGTTTTAAAGAAGCCCACTAGGGAATTAGGGGTTATCAAGATTTGCCAGATTAACCTTGGACCTTTATAATCAAAGGTTAGCCTAGTGCCATTATTTAAATATGTATGACTTTTAAAACTTTTTGTGTTCACACACAGTGTTTTGAAACCATAAACATAGCTGTCCTCCAGAGGGGAAGCATAAAGAGATACTATGAGCAATTAAAATGATCACCTTTCTTAAAATTTTGCCACCTCATAAGTATTAAGGCATGTATGGTAGCAGGGGTTGTCCCTTTTCAAGCTTACTTAAATTAGGATTCTACTGTGGTAGTAGACTCAGCTCCAGGAAAGAGCCTCTGATAGCAGATATAGACTTGGCATCAACCATTTTTTGTTTGATGAGTGTGACCCTTTCCCAAAGCACCAAGTTGCCCTGTGCTTCTTTCTTTGCAATTACAAGGTCACTAGGACCTTTTACAGTTCATTTGCTTTTTATTCAGAGATGAGCACTTTGATTACTTGTGGAAAAACAAATTAGATTTCCAAATACGTCTGACCGAAAGACATATTTGCACCTGGTGAGATATAACAGGTTCCATGAAGCTACTTTTTCCTCCCAAGTTTCTATAACCTATTTTTTTCCTGCTAATCTGTTTAGACTATTGACATTATGCAGGTATGGTAGAAAGATGTCATCTATGTATTTTGTTTCATAGTTAACAAGATGAATAGTTGAAAGGATGGAGTAGGTGGATAGAGAATAAGATTTTCTATTTGACACCCATAACAGGAAATGTTTAAATTCCAAATAAGACCACAAAAACACTACTTGAAATTAGTGTAGATAATGTAATTTCTCATGATTTGAATTGAATGTTAAAGAGAAGAGTAAGCAGATGTCTGAAAGTTTGCTTTTATAGTACAGTATATTCATTCTATTTGTGTATTATAAAGTAAATTCAGATGTATCATGTCAGTAGCCACTTTCTTATCTACATGGAAGTGATCTAAAAATAAGGCAAATGAGTTGAAGGAGGCAAGAGTAAGTGAAAAGGCAAGGCAGTATCTTCAGGGTCATTTAGGAGTGTGGTAGTACACTCAACCCTAGGAAAGTTCTAGAAAAGTGGCTTCTTGCCAGCTTGGAAAATCTATGTGCAAATGAACAGCAAGCAATTCAACTAGACCTTGAATCTGGGGGTCCCAGCTTAAATAGGTATAAACCATAGGAGGCTGCAAAAGAGCTGTCCTTCTTATCATTAAAATAAAACAAAATATAATATGTTACCATAGAGCTAAGCATAGAGTAGGCAATCAATAAATACTGTTTTTTTTTTTGTTTGTTTGTTTGTTTGTTTGTTTCGTTTTTTTAAATTGGGTAATAGTGTGTTTTTCCAGGACCCATCAGCTCCAATTGAAGTAGTTTCAATCTAGTTGTGGAGGGCGCAGCTCAGTGGCCCATGTAGGGATTGAACCGGCGCTGTGCTCTAACCACCTGAGCTAACCGGCCACCCCTAAATACTCATTCTTTAAATCTCTTCTTTTTCTTGTCCTCTCCCTCCATCCAGAGATAGGTGAGGACAGCAGAATTGGCCGAAGTCAGATAAAGAAAAGGGGCTTTCTCCCATTCTTGTTCATCTCTCTCCCAGCCAGCCCACTCCCACCTGTAGTTCTTAGGAACTGGCTCCGGAACTGCATTATGAACCAAGATGGGATGATCAAGAAATGCAGCTCCTCATCCCTTGCCTTCACCCACAACCCGAGATGTGAAGGATTTGCAGAAGGAGGTCGCTATATTTTGAATTACAGTTCACCTTTGGACAACACAGGGGTTGGGGTACTGACCTCCCCTGCCCACCAGGCATTTGAAAACTTGTTTATAACTTTTGACTCCCTAAAAACTTAACTACTAATAGCCTACTATTAACTAGAAACCTTACTGATAACATAAACAACACATATTTTATGTTATATGTGTTATATATTATATTCTTACAATAAAGTAAGCTAGAGAAAATAAAATATTATTAAGAAAACATAAGGAAGAGTAAATACATTTATAGTACTGTACTGTATCAATCATCAGTCATTACCTACATCAATATTATCTTACATGATATAAAACACTGTAGATGTTATATATATTACTAACACTAGACATAAAAAATGAAAAGATAATGTGAAAAAAATTCTTATTTATTTAAAGATATAACGATTCATGAATAGATAACAAAGAAGTAGCAATATGATCCCTTTCTGGTAGCCTAGTGTAATCAATACGATTGCTTCATAGTAGTAAGGAAATCTCCAAAAAAGTTTCCACTATATTTCTTTTTAAAAATCCATGTATAAGTGGACCTACACAGTTCAAACCTGTGTTCTTCAAGGGTCAGCTGTGTTTGATTCTTTGTCTTTCTGCATTTTGGTTTCATGCTTGTTTCAGTAATAATTGCAGAGATTTTTCTCTGTACAGAAAACATTTATCCTGAAAGTGAGTATTTTAAAGTTTAAATATGGTTTTCTTTCATTGCTACAGCCTTAGAATATAAGCACAGTGTGAAAATAACCTGTAATAAAATAAACAAGGAAAAATACTTTTCTTTTTCCCTTTCATATACTTATATTCCAGTTTTTTTAAAGAGCTTTTCCTCTAATCATGCCACCTCTTCTGTTATATTTCTCTCTTGTTTTCATAGTTACTTTCATTTTTTCACTATCTACTTCCTTCATAACCTAACATGATGTGGATTTTTACCCCATTATTTCGCTGAACAGTATTTTAATTGGAAGGAATTTACAGATTATCTGATCCATTATCCAAACCCCTCATTTTTAAAGTAAGAAAATCTCAGAAATTTTACATGGTGTGGATAAAGCAGAGATGGCAAGGACTTAGCACCCAAGCTGCTATTTACCACTCTGCCCAGAGCAGACATTGATTGGTTTTTTTTTTTTACTCTAATCATCATTCCCAGTGAGCCCTAAGAATCCTTCTCAATAGAGCTCTGTAGGCAGCCAGTGTCAGTCACTGGACCTGAAATCTTTGCCACCGCTTGCTCATAATCACACAGAAGACTTAACCAAAAACATTAAGTCAAGAGCAATCACAAGGGGTCTTATTTGATGGGGAACAAGATGAGGAGAATAAATAATAAAAGAAAAAGTAAAAGCTTCCCAGTATTGAGCTGGGGCTTACAATGTGATTAGAATTTAAATAGGCAGAGAGTAAGGAGGAGAGAATTCTTTGAGGGGAAACCACATGAACAAAGGCATGGAATGCTCAGAGCCAAGCTTGTAACAGTCCAGCAAAATTGATGCTTCAGTTTAGGAAGGAGTGGAAAAGAAGTTGGAAAGATTAATTGAGGCCAGTTGTAGGAGATTTTAAGGGCTCAACTAAGAAATTCAGATTTTATCCTATGGATTAAAGTCATGAACATTTTTGAGCAAAGGAATGATTTGACAGAAATCATCATTTGAAGCAGAATAATTCATAAATAATATGCCGAAAGAATTGACAGGGAGAATAATAAAGCGTGTTAGGAAGCTATTCTGTTTCTAGGCCTGAGGAGGTAGCAGTTTGTACTAAGGGAGTATCAGTGGGAAACAAAAGAGAGAGAAAATATCAAAGATGTTATTTTTTTTTAAAAAAGACAGAGTTTGATGACCAAATGGTTGTGGAGAGAATAGTGAAAGAAGAGAAAAATAAAAAGGGTTAATGATATCTCTGAGGTGTAACACTTTGGTGAATGATGGCACCTTTGAAGTAAAGAATTCAGAATAAAAAGAATTAGTTTTGCAGGAAAGGTGATCCCTGCTTAGGTATGGACAATTTGGAATGGCTCTCGCATATTTTTTATCTTGCAAGGAAAATGAAGTGACTTCCATTTTTTTCTGCCTTGGAATGATCTTAATGGGCTATAAACAATAGAAAATGTCTATATGGTTTTGCAGTTCAGCTTTGACATCAAACATCAAGCTCTTTGACATCATATACTATGGTAATTTGGGTGATTTTTTTTTAAAAAGTTTTTTTGGTTAGAGTTGGCATTCTATATTATTTTATATTAGTTTCAGGTGTACAGCATAGTGGTTAGACATTTATATAATTTATTCAGTGATGATCTCCCTGATTAGTTTAGCATTCACCTGGCCCTATACAGGTGTGATCAAACAATATGATGAATGCAGCTGCTTAGTGCCATCCAACAGAAAGACAGGGATCTTCAGTAGGGGAAGCGGTACATCAAACTTAGTAACAGTGTATGACAAGTTTCAACTTGTTCAATGTAGTCAGTCAGGTGTGATCTACGGAGAGAAGGTGTGTTTTAAAGTGTCTCGTGGGCCGGCCGAGTGGCACGTTGGTTAAGAACTGGCTTGGGATGCCAGAGGACCCCGGTTTGGATCCCACATATGAGGGCCAGTGACACTGCCCTCTACAGCTAAGATGCTGAACAACAGCTCAACCTGGAGTTGGGTTGCTGTGAGTCATTGGCCACAGCATAGGCTGCAGCCCCTGCTGCAGTGGGTTCCCATGGGCTACCATGTGTAGCCAGCAGCCAGCGTGAGCGGCCAGTAGCCGCAGTGAGCAGCCGTCCAGAAGCCGGCGACTGATCTGCCTCGCCCAGGAAGAGCGCAATTATGGTGCCAACTTGGGCCAGTGAAGCAACGTCCTCCGCAACTAGACTGAAGAACAAAAAATGACAGCAACTTGTCTGCTCCCCTTCCCCAATTCCCCAGCGCTGTTCCCATCCCCCAATTCCCCAATAAAAATCTTTAAATAAATAAATAAATAAAGTGTGTCGTAAATCATGGATCACGAACAATGCATTAACATGAAATGGGCAAACGGTTTCATCCTCAATCATGATGACACTCTGTGTCACACATCGCTTCTGGTATGGCAGTTTCTGTTAAATAAAAACATTACAGTGTGTCCTCATTCACCTTATTCACCAGAACTGGCTCTGTGCTACGTCTGGCTCGCCCCCAAAGTCAAAATTACCATAAAAGGTAAATGTTTTGAATCAATTCAGGAAATTGATGCAGCCACAATAGCACCAACTAAAGACACTCACAAAAGAGGACTTCCAGAACTGCCTCATAAAGTGGCAAGAACATGGAATAAGTGTGTTTGAAGCGGGCGGGGGGGGGGCTATTTCAAGGCAGTTAATGGCAATGTCTTTTACTGTATTAATTGTTTTTTAATTTAAACATTCACCATATTTTTTTATCTCACCTCATAGTTGTTGCAATATTATTAACTATATTCCCTATGCTTTGCTTTTGCCTCCTTGTGACTGTTTTGTAACTACAAATTTGTATTTCTTAATTCCTTTTGGGTGATTTCTTGATTCTCTAGGCCTTTTGAATCTGAGCATTTAGCTAGTTGGTGTCCTTTTTTCTTTCTATACAAAATATTTTTGTTGCCCTTATTTTTGTAGCTTATATTTCATTGGCCTTATTGAGCTTGTCTTATTTATCTTTAAGAATGTTAAACGTGGCATATAAAACAATATTTCTGCAATCGGAGTATCTTGCTTTTTTTTCAAAGGATGCAAGGTGTTGTAAACCGACTGTCCAAGTTGCTGAAACCTGGGGGAATGCTGTTATTTCGGGACTATGGAAGATATGATAAGACTCAGCTTCGTTTTAAAATGGGTAATAGTATATTCAGTTTGGAAATCTTTTCATGTATTTTAAAGAATGCCTTGTTTATATTTCATGTCAAGTTTTTTTGGATTTTTGTTTGTTTGTTTTAAAGAATACTAAGTTTCTCTTCTCATAATTATTTTTTTTCAGGGCATTGTTTATCTGAAAATTTTTATGTTCGAGGAGATGGTACCAGAGCGTATTTCTTTACAAAAGGTATGCTTATCTATAAGAGGAAATAATTAGCTGTAAAAACTCTCTTTGGTTATTGTTTGCAGAGAGAAAACTCAAAAGCTCTAAAAATGATGCTTCAACAGCTGATTAAATATTGGGTGTCTTCACACTTTGGTGACACTAATATTCTACATAAAAACTTTGAAAATGGTCTTTTTTGACTTCTCATCTTTTTCCATTCGAAACTGCTTTAAATAATCACTTGTTCCATTGTTATACCCAAATGAAGGTGTAGTTTGTTCCATTTTGGAGGTATTATTAGTTCAGATTTGAAAAATTGATGATATGCCACAGCCAAGGGAGAAATATAATTTTAATAGTCCCTAGAAAATTGCTTATCTCTTGTCAATTTCTCATTTTTAAAAAGTATTTAAAATGAAACCTGCATTAAGGATTTTCCCCAAACTTATGTGAATACTGTTATAATAATGTGCCATTTGGGGTCTCTGCAAACCAACAAAAACTCAAATGGGGCATCTTTCAAAATATTGAAAGCTATAACCAATAGTGTTGTGTATCTGATTATGCTTGTTGTGTTAACCTGTTTATACTTGGTGCATTTGTGTGGAGTTGAAGAAACCCACTTAGTTTCACATGTTTCCTTTACCAATTTGTACTGGAGAGTATTTCTCACTATGAATGAAATGTAGATGGTCAATCATCCCATTTAATGTTCGATGTTCCTGATTGCCCCCCTCTCTTCAGTCATATGTCATACATTTGATTGCCATTTTTTGTCCCACAGGGGAAGTCCACAATATGTTCTGCAAGGCTGGGTTAGATGAGAAGCAAAATCTGGTTGATCGTCGCTTACAAGTTAATAGGAAAAAACAAGTGAAAATGCACCGAGTGTGGGTTCAAGGCAAATTCCAGAAACCATTACACTTGACTCAAAAAAGCTCTGAATTGATGTTTTCACTCCTTTCTCATAGCTGAACTGTGTACCATGTTAAGGGACAAACCAAAGGACCACACTATTCAAAGACTTCTATAAAGCTTTCATTTTTAAAAAGAAAGTCAGAAAAAAAGAAGAGAATTTATATATTATGTTGTTTATCATAGGTGAGCTCCTTTGTGTATTTTAAGCACATGTAAGTGATTTTAAGCACATGTAAGTGATTTGAACGAGTGTACCATATTCTGTGTTTTCAAAACTTAATATGATCACTCTTGTTAGGGTTTATACTACATCTAACCATTTTATTTGTTCTTTGAATTTTATAGATATTCAATTAAATTACTGATACAAATCAGATGATTCTGAGAAATAATAACCTGCTATCTTTTAGAAGTGGGGAAGATCATCTACTCTACTTATATATTAGTCAAACACAATTTAATTCCCCTCCAGTGTTATCTGGTAGCAGAGAGGCGCTTGCCTTGTTTGCAGGGAAAATCACAAGCCTAAGACAAAAGTATATTGCTTTTTGTTTTGTTGTCTGTTTTCCCCAACACTTCTTTTTTTTTAATTCAGAGACTAATGACTGAAATAGAATTTTAGTTTTTCTTTCCTTTTCTAAAATTGGGGAAGTATAACCCATGTAATATTATTTTCAGACTATTTGGTGTACAAATTGTTGTAAGCTCTCTTTAAGATAACTTTTATACCCAAGAAAATTCTTAAATTGTAGCAATTAAAAATTTATTTACAACTTTGCCTCAAAAGGATATATTTGACTTGCAAATTGCAGTTTGCACTTAGAATGGAGTTTCTTGTTGTTTTGTTTTTTTCTTTTTGCATTTAGAATGGAGTTTCTAAGATTGGTCTTTCATTTGTTACACAACATTTACTGAGTATTTACATTTGCTGAATTATATGGAGTAATACAATAAATAAAGACCCAGCCCCATCTTCAAAGAGCATAAATAGTATCTAGCTGGCAAAGCAACATGTGCACCTCCCAAGCCTCTAAATCAAGATTTAAGATAATATATGAGCAGGTACTCAAATAGGGAGCTTATCAGCCAGCAGACTTTTATTATAAGCCACAGAAATCTGGAAGAAATGGACACTCTTTTGAAAGGACTACCATTAGAATAATTTAATTCCCACTGATTTTTTTTAACAAATATTTCCTAAACTTTATTTTTTATTATTATTATTATTATTAATTATTTAAAAGCATTCATCTCTCTTTTTTTAAGATTTTGTTGGGGAATTGGGGAAGGAGAACAGCCAAGTTGTTATCCTTCAATCTTAGTTGTGGAGGGTGCAGCTAGCTCTGCTCCAAGTCCAGTCACCATCTAGCCGCCTGTCGGCAGCTCGCGGCCACTCAGCTCAAGGTGCCATGTTCAATCTTAGTTGCAGGTGGGCGTAGCTTACCATCCTATGCGGGAGTCAATCCGGAAACCTTGCTGCTAAGAGCACGCGCTCTCACCAGCTCAGCGGCAGCTCAGCTCAGGCACAGCTCACTGGCCCTTGTGGGAATCAAACCAGTGACCCTGTTGCTGAGAGCTTGCACGCTTAATTAATTGAGCCACTTAGCCAGCCTGATTTTCCTTTCTGTTTTTTCTGTTTGTTTGTTTGTTTTGAATTTTTATTCAGATTTGTTTTTAATCACATTTGCTTTTATACAAAGGTCTCCCATCTCAATAGCTGCAGACCCTGGAGGCTCGTTAATGAAAGTGGGCGTCCCCTAACTTTTCTAACTACATCTTCCTCTTCCTCTGGTCTCTCCCTTTCCAGTGTCTCTGTCAACCTCTCCTCCTCTGTCCGGACACCCACAGTCCTTGCTTCATTCTGAAAAATAATCAGAGCTTGCATACTAGTCTGGTAAAATTGAATTAACTCTGAAACACCACCATGCCAATATAAGAATACAATTTTCCTGGCTGGTGTCTGATCTTATACTTGGCAGAGAGGCAGCCTACGGGTCAAGTGCTCTCTAGATAGCTGCCTCTGATACATTTCAGCTTCTTCTCTCAACCAGAAGTAAGGCAAGATGCGGTGAATACTGAGCCCTCCAAAAAGTCTGATTTTGTTTTTTGAATTCACTTAAAATTCAATTTCCTGGAAGACTGTGATTGGTCATGGATTATCTCTTTAAGGCTTGGGCAGGACAGCTTAATTGACGACACTACCAGAATGTATGGAATGGAGGAAAGTTCCTCAAAGGAAAATCAAGACACTGGTATCAAAAAAAGGGGAGGCAGGGAGATGCTGCCCAGTCACAGACATGTCACATAATGGTGGTCGCAGTAGTAATAGTGGTTCCGAAGAGAAAGAAAGATCGCTGTGGAAAGTAAGGGGTGAGAATCAGGGTTCTGGGAGGAGGTGGGTCTCAGGCTAGTCCTTGAACGTACACTCTCAGAAGACGGTGAGAAAACAAATGTGTTTAGTGTGGGACATTTATGATGAGGAATAGTGCAGAAAAGATAGAGAGCGGGTCAGCTTATAGACAGACTTGAATAGCGAGCACGTTGGGTTCTAGTCTCTGGACTGGAGCCATCTGAGGTTTGTTTGTTTCTGTTTTATCTTAGTCATGGCTTGTTATAAATGAATATAGAGAGACTGGGTTGAGGACTCATCTATAGAATGGAATACAATGAGGTCAGAGATCAGAGGCAAGGAAGACCACATAAAGCTTTTGCACACACTTGCCTTGGTAGTAAGTCTTCAGAAGTAGTACAATATCAAGGTTATTTAAACATGCATCAGTCAGTAAATGTAAAAGCTAAAATTTGCCTGAGACTCTTAACTCAGATGTATTGCATAATTAAAGTGTACATTTAAAAGCCAAACTAGTCATGGAAGTATTACATACAAGGGCAGTTAGAGAAGTTAATGTTGCTATGGGAACCCTAGCAGCTCTTGTGTTTCAAATTAAAAATCATGGCCCAAGGTGGTTTTAAAAACAACAGAAGGTAAAATTATTCTCACATTCTCACACATGTAAATTGTACTGTCTCTCTTAGTCCTAAATAGCAAATTCAAGACAGCCTCTTGACTGGCACAGCAAAATTCAGCTTCGTATCTTTCTATAGTATATTACAGCATGTAGTTAACCTTTAGAAACTTCAAAAATACCTCAACCAAATTTGGACTGTGAGACACAAACGGGGCTCTTCTGGGCTCTGTGTAGCATAGACCTCCTACATAGCTGCTCAGGAGGACCCTTTACTTGTCTTAAGCTTGTATGGTCAGTCTTTCTCTTGCTTACCCTACCTGAATTAACCCTCTACTTTGAGTTTGCTGTTAGACAAAATGTAGATTTGAGGCTGAAGAAAAAAAGAGACCTGATTTGGAATATCACCTATAGATGCTAAGAAATCATGAAGTGTTGCAAATGTATCTGCATGGATATTAACTTAAAATATTTGATAACTGCATGAAATTCTAATTTGCCACTTATGTCGATAAAGCTAAGACCAGTGAGTTAGGCAGAGTTTGATATTTAAAATTTTCATCTTCTGAGGAAGCTGAATTTCAAAAAGACCATTTGCATTCTAACAGAAAAAGATTTGTTCCTTCATCTTTTTATAATACAGAAACAATGAAATATGCCATATTAAAGATGTACCCTCCACTTTTGTTCATTTCTAAAAAATCACTTTTGAGCATTTTCCAAATGTAAAAATTCTCACACATGAAGAACTGTTTGAGACGGTTGTGAGAAAGCCAAGGTAACAGATTCTATTTTTAGAAGTTTGCCATTCAGCGTGACACATTTGTCGTATTGAAACACCCAGTTCATGTTGACTTCTGAGAACTTATTTGCTTTGTTTGTCTCAGTTCCATATGCTTTATCTCTAAAGTATGAACACATGGAGGTTTCTACCATTATGCAATCTAAATCGTTGCTGTACTGTGGTTTATACCCGAAAATTCATCCATATACAAAAAGCTGCCCTCCTGGATATCTGAACCATTTAGACTGTTAAACTTCAGGTAAGTTGAATTCTTGGCCCCAGACTCCTAGCTATATTCCTGTGTTTTTTTAACTCATCAGAACCAAGTTCTGAAGCCTGAACATATCACGCATCGTCACTTCTAATTGGTTTTAATGTTTATTATGCTCCTCACAAGGGCAGATAACTTCACATTTGCATTGTTAACAGACCTCTTTCAGAACCTCTGCTCTGCCTGTTTCCTGCCTCTGTTAGTCATCAGTAGACATGTTGGCCTGGGTATTTTCCCCCACTTGTCAAAGTGCACTGTAAATTCTAAAGCACTGAATACATGTCAGGTATTGTTATTAATAACAACATGTACAGTCTACAAGGCAGCATACAGAGCACTCCAGCAACAGAAACTTTTTCAATGGTTGTATGAGATCTTCTGAGAAAGACAGTAAGATGCTGTGGGGAAGTATTGTCTCGGAGTCAGACAGGAAGCATGGGTCCTAGTTCCTAATGAACCACTTAGCCACCCTTAATGTCGCTCTGAGTACCAAATTTTGTATATATATACTACACTTTCATTTACTTCATTACTACTTTGTTTAATCCTAAAACTCCTATGAATTCGTTTTTTTTTTGTTTTTTTTTTTTTTAAGCTGAGCCATCCTGCTACCTATTGGCAGCTCAGCGGCTGCTCAGCTCGGGCTGGACTCGAACCGCTGTTGCTCAGAGCTCAAACTCCTGAGCGAGCTCTTAACCAACTGAGCCACTCGGCCGGCCCGAATTCGTTTTTATTATAACCATTTAACACATGACACAAGGACTCTGAGATATTGCATAACTTACCCAGGATATCACCACTAGTCAATGGTAGAACCACAATTTGGACCCAGAACTGTCTGATTCCAAAACGCCTATTCTCATTGGCATGCTTTTATTTTTATTTTTTTATTTTTTTAAGATTTTATTAGGGAATTGAGGAAGGGAACAGTGTTGGGGAATTGGGGAAAGGGAACATTGTATTTTCCCAGGACCCATCAGCTCCAAGTCAAGTTGTTGTCCTTAAATCTTAGTTGTGGAGGGCGCAAGCTCAGCTCCAAGTCCAGTCACTCCAAGTCCAGTCGCCGTTTTCAATCTAGTTGCGAGGGGGCACAGCCCACCATCCCATGCGGGAGTAGAACCGGCAACCTCGTTGCCAAGAGCACGCGCTCACCAGCTGAGTCATCCGGCTGCCTGTTGGCAGTTCAGCTTGGGCACAGCTCACTGGCCCATATGAGAATCAAGCCAGCAACCCTGTTGCTCAGAGCTCGCGCTCTAACCAACTGAGCCACCCGGCCGGCCCCCTCATTGGCACACTTTTAATAGATAGGATCAAATGCTGCTCAGACAGCTGCTGGAGAAGAAAGAGGTTCTGAATCAGGTGGAGAAATATAGCAATGGATGGGAGTTTGCATCCAACAACCTTCAAGGTTACGGCTCATTCTAGATCCAGTCAGTGATTCTATGAAATAAGTAGGTTGCACTTGTCCACAGTAACAGACTAGGCAGAGAAGAAAAGGCACCAAGAGGAATGACAAAGCAAAAGCTTCCAATCAGTTCCTTTCAGCATTCTGTCGTGTTTAATTCTGCTCTTGCCTCACCAGCTTCAGGCTTCAGGCTTCAGCATTCCACTTGGCTTCCGTCTATAAGCACAGCACCCAATACTTGCATACTCCTCACTTAAAGAAAAAAATTAGTCTGTACTGCAAGTGTGTGTGTCGGGGGGGAGCCCTTAAAATGTCTTCAAAGGTATGCAACTCGAGTGTAATCTAAAATATGTGAATTCAGGAAGTGTCAATAATAAAATATGAGTGAAAACGTCTTTATTTAAAACTGTACATTAATGCCAATTCAAGCATGATATATTGAGAATTTCCTGGAATATGGTTTGGGATTTGAGAAGCACAAAGGTACCAGCAGGATGGCTTTGGTGTAGTTATAAATAAAAATAAGAGTAAAATAACAGTTGCATCTTCATTTATAATAAAATCGATATTATATCCGCAAAGCTATGGAGGAGAATGGATGCCAAAATCTGCCTTTTGGTAAAATATGCCTTAAGCGACAGAGTGTTGACGACAAAATTTCTTTTTCCTCTGAGTATGAATCAGCAACATGCAGTAACTAGCAAGTAATAATGGTTCTGCTGTGAGTGCCCCCAGAGGGTATGAAAAACAGCATCAAACTGAAAA